AAGCAAGGTGAACATCAGCATTGTGTATAAATAAATAGTGCACACCCATCAGGGGTGTTGCAAGACGATGGGGCGTCCTTGGCCCCTCCCGTGGCCCGGCGCTATATAACGTCCGTCCAGCGGCCAGAAGCCACCGTCCCGCCATGGCCTGCCGCAGTCTGGTACGTTCACCTCCACATCAATTACCATACCGTTGTCAAGATTCATTTTTCTCGACATCTTATTTTCTTAATTTCATTTAAATCTGTCTAGAAATATTAAATATATATTTAAATATACTTTCCCCCCAAAAATAAACAAAAATAAAATATTTATTTATAAAGATTTAGCAGAAAGAAGAATAAAACCTCCTCTATATTCCGCGGATTTGACAATTCAAAATTAATGCGCACACTGTCGCAATTTTCCGACTTGGCAACCTGCGCAGCAGATTGGAAAACTTCTGATTAAAAGAGCGACACCCTCTCTCTCCTTCTTATTATTTTATGTTTTGCTTTTTTATATTTAGACTTAGCGAGGACGTTGCCCCCAAGATTTGCTTTTATTTTAAATAAATTGGAATGCTATTCTTCTCTCGTCTGAATAACTTTGAAGTATTACGTTAAAAGTTTCCAAATAGAACATAGGGATAAATATAGTTTGTTTGTCTTTTATAAAAATAAATACAGCGCAGGTTCCGCATTGTTTTTATAAAATAGTTTAATAAATTTGTTGATATATAGCGTAATAAAATATATCTAGCGCGTGCCATACTCTCTATATATGTGTATTTTACTTTTAGTATTTTATATATGAATTATATATATATAGTTGCCCTCTTTCTTATCATTTATTCATTCAACTTAATATTAGAGAGAAACACTGAAGTTTATTGTGTGTTTAAAAACATTTTAATAAATCGGCATCTAATGACATTTCATTAATACTAAAGGTATATATAAAAGGTATCAAAAATGAAACCTCTTCCATTTAAATGCATTAAAACCATTTTGTTTTATACTTCACTACAAAACGTAGTAGTAGTGTTAAAGACTGAGATTTCAACACCAATTTTATCAATTTTTTCTCTAGTAATCAAATGAGTAAATTACAATCGAAACATTTATAGAATTTTTATTTTCTTTTTGCAGGGAAATTGGCTCTCCTATGAGAGTTTCATTTGCATTCCATTCAGCCATTTAATATCTCGAAAATATGGACCTTCTACCTGTAGACCGATTTGATAGTAAAACAAACGGCTGCTAATCAAAATTGACGACTTTAAAGGGAAACCACCAATGATATATTGACTCTATTATAATGTTCTTCTTCTTAAAACTTGCTCATAAGTTTTTGAATAATAATATCTCTATCGTTGCTATGTTCTAAAGTATATTGTCCTTATTTACAGTCTCTGTTGATTGCAATAATAGCTACGTTTCCTCAAAGTTGAAGAATCGGTTGCAGGTGAATAATGGAAAAAAAACATTTTTTTGCAGAATTCCAAGCGTGATCTAGAGCATGATTTGAAAATACAGAGGTTATTTATTTGGTGTTTCCGAAAATATCAGTTTTCTATAAGTAGAATATTTTGTTCACCACCGTAGATGTGGTTATAAGCTAGAAGATGACCCTTCTCTTAGCGTTTTTTTAAATAAATAGTTTACTAAAACAAAATTAAGAGAGAGTAAGAAAAAACCTAATTATCTTTATATATACTTTTAACATTGAGAAAACATATATTATTTGCATATAAAGTATATATAAAATAAGAAACTCGGCTCGTTATCTAAACATGCATCCAACATGTGACTGACGGGAGTGAATGTTGTCCTTCAGATCTTCGTCCTCCTCGCAGCGCTCGTCGCCACCTCCGTGGCTCTGTCCATCGGAGGCTCCCGGGACATCTTGGGCAACTACTACGACTACACCACGGGCCAGCTGTCTAGCGCTCTGACCGGCCGTGTCTACAACACCTACCCTGCCGTGCACCACGCTGCCGTCTACCCTGTCGCCGGTCTCTACTACGGCGCCCACGGTCTCTACTATCGCTAGAGGTATAACTCAGCCTTACTGAACGTCTACCGTTCAAATTTCTCTACTCTAATATAAACTTCAATTTGATAAAATAAGAAATATCAGATACTCATTGACTTATTGGAAAGGAATGTCTAGACGTAGCTCTTCTACTAAACATACCTGAGTGAATAGAGATATTAAACCGTACTTCCTGATGGTTTTATAAAAGGTTCAAGTAGTTGCATATGTTTGAGATGATATTCTATTGATAGAAAAGATGGATTAATGAGAGGGAATAAGCTAGAAATCTAAGTGTAGAGATTGACTTCCAAATATATTTGGTTTGAAAATTCGGAACTTCCACTGATAATAAAAAGACCATTGCCTACACATGCAATCAACCTTTTCTTCATTAAAATCGTCTCTTATTCATAAAATGAATTTTTTAATAACCGGAACTATAAGTGAACCAGAGCGGTTCTAAGATGTACGCTATGAAATCGGCCTGATGTTAGAGATTCTAAGATTGCATGCCTCCCTTTGTCTCCTTCGAGCGTTTGAGTCATGAAATTATGCTTAAAATGAAGAGTTATAATAAAGCACATGTGATTTTGGTCAGGATATGCCTCGATTATTTTTAATATATATATATTTTTTATTATCAGAAAATCACATAAAGTGATATTTTATCGCCCAAGACCATTTCATATATTGAAAAATATAGGTGATAAAAACTGAAAAGACTAAAATCATAAATCTCCAAAACTATTGAAGTATTTACGTGCAGTAAAACCTGTCTTATCAGCCATTTATTTACTATAAGTATATATATTTACTTATAACGTAACAGAGCCTCGTTTGATTACTTACACTCCCAGGTGGAATGGACGTGTACAGTAGGTGCGGCCATTGAAGAGATTTTAATCAACTAATGCGTGATTCGATGATCCCAGGTCGTAGCTTTCACAACCGACAGTTTGAACCATTCATACCATCAGTCTCATACTGATTGATGGCGCAAACCATCAGCAAGGTTCAGTAGCCCGATCATATATTCACCATTTTGATGCGGTGTAGATGATTCTTTTATTTTACTTCCCAAAGAGATTAGATTATTTTTCTAACAGCTTTACTTTTGTACCGGTAGCCAATATGGAATAGAATATTGGAAAAATTAATTTTCAATCTAAAATAAAATCAATATATCACTCAAATCAACATTATCTATTTTGTGTGCGATATATATCCCTTTAAGTTATTTTTACCTTTGGAGATTTTATAAGGTATTAATATATATATATATGTTCCTTACACTTGAGTGAAAAGACTCCTGATTTTTTTGGGGAAATGATGAAGCCTTAACATGAAACCTTACCAGGTCCGATGCTATTTATATAATATTTGTTGTGGCTTCTTTTGCAAATCCTTCAAAACCTATTTGTACTCCCAATATATAAAACTTTGTTGTGTGTTTCAGCCTCGGGACTTGAAACCATCTAGATCCGAAATGTTCCTTCTACAAACCCCAATAAAATATGATCACTTTATTTTCATATGTCATAGCCTACACAAGTTTCCTATGATAAAAATATATATGTAAATTAGGTATAAAGGCATACATATGTATACAAGTTGGATTTATATCTGGATTTCCCAAAGATAGAGTTGTGTCACACCTTTCAACTCCATCTTTGCGTTCTGGACAGGGATAATGAACAAACGGCATTTTTGACGCATTTTTAAGCGCAAGATATTCGTATTCTCTTTGCACACCAATGTGTACCATAAAAGGATACCCATTCCCTTGGTCGTTAAAAATACACTCATGGGCAAAACTTAAAGAAGTTATACCGTTTAGCATGTATACCGGGATTCAGACAATAAGATATTTGATATACAGTGGCATTTATTGAAGACTTACGAGATAACTAAGTCTGAATAAAATTGCTTCCGTCTCCTTTAAAAAAACAGGGAATAGTTTATTCTTAAAATATTGAAATTCCTTAAGTTTTGTCCATGAGTCTAGATCCATGTTGTTGGTCCTTTATTGAACAAATACTTTATGGATAGCGGAAGCCTGCCATCTAAAACCTCATGTGAACGTGGTCAAGATATGCCTTTTTTGATTTTAACACCTAACCCTTTTTATTATTTTTTCACATGTTTAGCGTATTGACGCAAATTTGGCCTTAAATACCCATGTCTTGATTTCTCAGGAAGCCTCTGGGACCAAAATATGTTTAGTCGTTGAGGTACAGTCTGCACCACGCTGACGAGGGACAACACCCCTAAACGCGCTCGTGGTCGATTTTTCTTGATTTATCAAGAAAATGGGTTGGCCAAATATCAGGGAACAGGCTAAATAAACGTTTAGTTAATTTCTGTTCCCCTAGATGGCGTTCTTACATCTAAAAGTTCATGTGAACGTGGTCAGGATATGCCTTTTTTGAGTTTAATAACAAACACCTGACCTTTTTTATTATTTCATTTTTTTTCACATATAATTATATATTAAAATAAAAAAAGACATATCCTGACCACGTTCACATAAACCTTTAGATGGCAGAGCTAGTGGAATAGAAATCAACTAAACGTTGATTTAGCCTGTTACCTGATATTTGGCCAGCCTATTTTCTTGAAAAATCAAGTAAAGTCAACCAAGCGTTTCGGGCTGTTGGCCCTTGTCAGCGTGGTGCATTTCTACTGCGCCGAGAAAAATATATTGGGAGGGCTTGGCGTGGTGAACCCTTCATGTGGTTTTGTCAGTTTAATCTTCAGACCATTATACTATTGTATTTGGATTATAGAGAGAGAAATCCAGAGAAATTAAGCAGTTAAAAAAAGCAACGATATAATTTTTTATTTCAATCAATAGATCGCGTATTTGAAAAATTAATATATACAGTTATCAGCGTCATAATCAAGCAACAATTCTTAATCAATTCTGTCACCGTTTGCCCTTGTGAATGGAATAAATACCCAAATATGGCCATTTCTGATAACCATCGGTGGTTTAGTCGTAGAATGCTCGCCTGCCACGCGGGCGGCCCGGGTTCGATTCCCGGCCGATGCATTTTTTTTTTACAATTTTTAAAACTAATTTATATATTATACAAGAATGACATCCACGGCGCCAATTTATAATTGTAACGAATAGTATTTGAATAAAAACATTTAATCGGGTAAAGCCTAGTTATATTATAACATTGTCAAATTTTATGCATAAAATGTAAATTTTACCTTATATGAACGTTTTACATGAAGGACGTTTTGGGATCATTGTACTTAAAGAACGTTCTATGAACGTTGAGCCTGATGAAGATTCTGAGAACGTTGTATTAGAAGAAAGTTTTGAGAACGTTGTATCATGGGGGAGGGGGGGAGGAAATTCTGGGAACCTTGTATTTGAATAACAAATTCTAAGAACGTTGTATTTGAATAACAAGTTCTAAGAACGTTGTATTTGAATAACAAGTTTAAGAACGTTGTATTTGAATAACATTTTGGGAATGCTATATCATGTGAACATTCTGAGATCGTTGCATCCTGCAGAACGTTTTGGGAACGTTGTAATTGAGAGAGAGAGAGAGAAGAATATTCTGTTAACTTTGCACTTAAATAACATTCTAAGAACTTTGTATTTGAAGATCGTTTTGGGAATGTTGTGCATCATGAAGAACTTTCTGGGAACTTTATATTTGAAGAAAGTTCTGTAACTTTGTACTTGAAGAACGTTCTAAGAATGTTGTACTTGAAGAAAGTTTCGAAACGTTATATTATTGAGAATAATCTAGAAATATTGTACCTAATGAACGTTCTGAGAACCCTGTATCTGAAAAACGTTCTGGAAGCCTTAAAGCTCCAACGTAAACCAGCCGGACCCATGCGCCGTCCCAAATGCTCGGCAACCAGAAGCCTTGGCGTTATTTTTATCTTAGTTCAACAGCTTCTGCTTACAGTAAGTTCCTGGATGCTGCTTTTCTCGCATTTTCCTCTTTTAGATCCGACGCACAGGATCGTTTTAACGCATTAAATTTGAAGGCAAACCTATTACAAAATTTTGTTTAGTTGTAACCTGATGTTTCATATACCTACCTAATTTCGGATGTAGGTGTAATCATAATTTATTATAGAAAGCCTTTCTTAACAAAATTAAAGAATATATTGATATAATCGGAATAAAGCATCGGTTTTGACCTTTACTTTTCAAAAAATATGTATATAGGCCATATTTTTCGAAATAAAGAGTTGAGACACCTAATTTCCAGAAATAATTTCGACAAAGTCAAAGGCTCTCATCTCGGTTAATAGTGATATAGGGGCTCGTGTGTTAAAGCCTTATGTTTAAATTTATATATAACATAATAAATATTTAAGCAGAGGAGCTTACTAAGAGCCATTTTTCAGTTGGCTAAAATTCGTTATTTGCAACGGCTTTGTGTTTTTATTAGTCAGTTAAACGGTAATCTTGAGCCTGTCCTTTGAAACAGATATTCGAATTTATGACGCCGTTTACGCTCTAAGACCTAAATAACAGCGTTTAGTAATTGTTTTCAAAGAATTTAAACAACCCTACCGACATCAATACATATTGACCTTAAATTGAGAGTGTCATTGTCGTTAGTTTGATTGATAGATGCTCTAAATTCGCAGGTTGGTATGGCTTTTATAAAATTTCTATAAAAAACATAATAGGTAAAAAAAACTCGAGAGTTATTTAAAACAAGATAATATAAGGTCTGACAAGCCGCTAGTGTATCATGTTGGAAGGATGCGAATTAAAGAAATATTTATAAAATTTTTCCATCACGGATTTCACCACAGGATCTGTAAGAATGCTGAATTCCACGAACCGGGTAAAGAATGCGCATGCAAATTGTGTGGATTGCCGGCTCCATTAAAACAATCTTCTCCTGACGGACCCGAAGTTTATCCTCAATTTCCCAAAAGGGAAGATTGTGTTTGATCCATTTTCTTTTAGATTTTGACTTCGGGAAAAACAAGGCCGTTAGCCTTTTCTTGGCTGTTATATTATGGAGATGGGGAAAAGATCCTAACAAGTTTTAAGACTCTTTCAAGGGCCGGAGCTATCTGGATCGCCTAATTCTTAACGCTGTTATCTGAAGCAGTATAGTCCAGTTTCTACTAAGGTGAAGAGATTTGTTGACACAAGTCCTATTGACGTTCGCCCTTGTGTTACTTCTCTGTGCTCTTAAATGTTAAAATGAACACACACACGGCTTATTATGAAAGAAACAGTTCAATAAGCACCTACCATTTAGTTATATCGTATAATTCCTTACGAACGCAGTATTAAGCGTTTATAAAAATAAACGTATCAATCCAATATCTCTCGTAGTTGGGAGGAAATTCATATTTGAAACCTTTTATTCAACTCAGAATGTATATTAGTGTTCTCTAATGGGTTCTTTGTATTACCAATTCATGCTGAGGGTAATGCTGTGTATAACAATATTGATTCTTGGTTTAAAAAATTCTATATTAGAATATTCTGGACATTCTGAAAAATATAGATCAAAGCTAGTGGAAATTTATATCGTTAAATGGTGTAAACCATCAATTTCAGGCCCTCCCCATAAGATTATTCTATTATTACTTTATTAAAAAACTGTTGATCAGTGTGTCTTCTTGTAATTTTTACACACGCTAGGGGGTGAACATACTCCATTGAGTAAAACTTGCAAATAGTAGGTTTGAGTGTTTAAAAATGAAAATATCTATACGTATAGCCATGTACATTGAAAATTCAATAGACAATTATAATGAAAAAAAAAAGAATGATAGTAGTTGATAAGACACATTTGCGCTAAATGCAATCAAATTTGGCGTATAATTGTAATAAACTAAACAAAAATATCATAACTTCTAATTGCAATGGAAATGGTTCATAAGCGAGGGAATTTGGTCCATAGATCTTGAAAGAAACGGACATTAAAGACAGAATCTATGTAATTCGTTGATTTAAGTGCGAAAAGACTTCAATTTGTATATAACTGGAAATCCCAAATATATGAATTACGACAATTCTATATTATCAGAGGCATAGGTGCATCCAGGTCGACCATCCAGGTTCAACCATGCCAAGTAACATTCCTAGAAACAAAGTTACCATGTAACTCTAGTATAATCAAGAAAAGGCCGTAGACTTCTATAATCTGTTTAAGTGTAGTATAAAAATAAGTGCTGAACGTTTTAAAATATTTGAATTTAAATGAAGTATTTAAGCCCATTGATCCAGAATATGCCGAAAGAGTACATGGCAAGGCTCGTCCACATGTTGCATGAACAGTCAGTCAAATAGTGGTCAGTCGAATTTCACAAGAATGTATCGACCCTCTCCTCCCTTTCCAGACGTATTTCCAGAATTTCTCCATCAGATTACTATTCGTTTGGATTCTTTCTTATAGCCTCCTTTCTGGAGAATGTTTTTTCTATTTTAAGGATATCAATCATTGATGACTGTGGGCTTCTTTTAAACAATCAGAAGTCTTTCTTTACGGTGTATTGTTGCCTGAGAAAGATTAGCGATTGTGTCTGAGTTAAAAATAAATGAATGCACGCGAGGTATAATTTATTAAATTTAAAACTATGTATTGTAACTTTTATTGCCTTATAGAGAGCATCAACTTGAAAGTTTCTAAGTCATTAAATATACTACTTCTACAGAAGAAAAGAAGTTTATATATAGAACTAGCTATAAATATAGAAAGATTTTTAAAATATGATTTATAATTTTGTTTTCTTTAATTTGTATTAAATTCATAAACTAAATTTATATAAAAAGTATTATAAAATAAATGAAGCTTCCAGGGTTAAGTTTCTTGTACAACTTTTTATTTTCAAGCTTTCGGACTTGTCAGTCCTTCAACAGGATTATCACTTTAACAATTCAATAATAAATACATTTTTTATATACACATTATTATATGCATATTTTAAATACCTATTATATAATATAAAAAGTATATTACTATATTAAAAACCTTTTTATCTTATATATTAATATTTGATCTTATATACCCTATATACACATGTGTTTAATACGTATTAATATATATATATATTAAGAAAAAGGCATCTACTTATCGTGCAACTGAAAGTTGCTGATGGCTTGCGCCATCTATCGGAATAAATATCAACTATTCTCGTTGATTTTTAATTATTCCAGAATTGGCCAAATACCCATTCTTGATTAATCAAGAAAAGCTAACCACGGACGCGTTTCGGGCTGTTGGCCCTCATCAGCGTGGTGCAAGCTGTACCTCAACGACCAAAAAATTGGTCGTTAAGGCATCCTGAAAAATCATGAAACGGGTAGTTAAGGCCAGAATTGCGTGAGAACGCTACAAAATGTGAAAAAAAATAGTACAAATGTAATATTGTACTGGGATAAGGTGCATAAATTAAGAAAAAGGCATCTACTTATCGTGCAACTGAAATATATATGTGTGTGTGTTGTGCGTTTTTTTTTTTTTTTTTTGAATGGAAGTATAATAGATGAAAAATTAGGATTTTTAGAAATATTTCGATTGACAGCACACACGCGCGCACACAAACGAAAACCTTTATAAAGGTAAAAATAGTATTAAAACGTATCGTATATAATTTGTACTTTGATAAATTAATTAAATTTTGTTTCAATATATTCAACTGGCGTGACGCTGAAGGAATTCAACACTGATGAGTCAGGCCCTTCCAATATTTTTTCTCACTGCAACATGGGAAATTGTCTATTGAAAAAAAAAAAAAAACATATGGAGATGAATATTTTATAAATTTGAATTTGTATGCATTTTATATATGTGTGTGTGTATGTGAAGATATATTTATATGGTAATTTCTCTATTTAAAAAAAAATATGTATATATGTGTGCCAAAATAATATATTCAAGGACTCGAACCATGTCTAGGTATCCAGAAGGTATTGTCACAATAAAGGCTGCTCAGAAACTCGACCTGGAGGGAAATAGGCCCAAGTAGAAGGCCTAGACAATATAATTGACAACCTCTGTTATAATGTTGTAGACAGGCTTGAAGCCACCAATTATGGAA